GTGTATTTCCATTTCGTCAATTGGTTGAACAGGACAAAGTATTTGAATCACAGAGAAAGCACACGTAAAAAGAGAGATTCTAATGTTAACTTTTTTAGATTCTTTTTCAAGTATTTATATTTAAAATATCGTGATAGAAAATACGCGTGATTATAAGTAACAGTTTCGATATCTGATATTTTGATGAAAATTTCTTTTTTTTTCTTTTTTTCATGCATGTAAATAAAAACAAAAAAGAAAAAAGAAAATTGTGCAAAACCCTATTATTATATAGTAATATCACGGAAATATTTATTGCGCCATAATCATGTGATTTTCACTGGGTAAATCGACTTGCCAGTTTTGTTATTAAGGTTATTATTAGGATTAGTTAAGGGAGTTAGGAAATCATTATATATGTCATCCCTAATAAGTATATGTGACCCGGCACAATAAATCCTTTTCAGGTAAAAAATGCGATGAATGTAATCGGTATAGTATTTCAAATGTAACATCAGGAATGTTTCAAAGCATTATATCTTCTGACAATTACAAAGTATAAACGTGATTATTCTGGATGATAACAGTTTGATTTCATTTCTTTTGTTGTTTTGTTGGAGTGAAATAAGTTGATCTAATTAAATCCGCTTTATGATGGTTAGGCTTCGAAATTCTCTTAGTGTGAAAAGTATTGCTGAATGGATCTGAATCCTTATTAAGACATGATAGTGCTTCAGCCTTGCAAACAATATTTTCCTAATATTTCAAGTTGTTAAAAATATCCATCAACAATATATACCAAATTTCTTTCTCTTACCTTAAAAAAATAGAATGCTTCTAAAGTTGCTTCAGAACAGTAATATCATTAATTTGAGTAGAAAATCTTAATATTGGTCCTTCAAACCCAAAATACAATCCTTCATCTAATAAGTCGACACCAATTATTTGACCATGTAAAGCTAAACAAATAAAATAGAACATCAACATAAAGCATAATACAATACGTATATATTTATTAAAAGCCTTATCTACTAATTATAACCTAATAATTGCAGAATTTTCGATTATTTCATCAGATAGATCATGTGAAAAATATTGATCAAGAACAGTTCTCAAACATTTACTATAGTCATTGATAATCTTGGTAGAATTTGTTATATATGCGCACTCAGAATAATTGAACTTCCTTGATTTTTTCCTTGACATATAATTTGTAAATCAATTTTTCTTCCAACTGCCATTGCCTTTGAAATGGGTTCTCCCCTGCAAATATTTACAATCAGAATAATAATTGATAATCTTTCTAAAACAAATAGAATACTAACCATTTAAGCTGAACAAGGTATTGAATGTCAGAAAATATTATATCAATTATTAGACCCACAACTTTGAGCGTAAATTCAATTTCCATTAAATTTTGTTTATTCCCTTCCCTATCTACAAAAACATAGAGATCTATCAGAAACATTTCTATACTAATTATAAAATTAAAATTAGTTCAATACGTATTGCAAATATAACTGCATAAGAGTTATGTAATTACATATATAAAAAAATAAATTTTCACGACTTGACATTGTAAAGTTCAGTTTGATCTGCACATCCCTTTAATTTTTCATACACGAAATCCCTTACTTTCTAGTATTTATATTCACCGCAAAGCTGAATATTAAAAAAAGGTTCAATAAAGCATCTATAATAAACATCTGATCTATAGATCATTTATATACTTCTTCTATTTTTTTGATGTCACTTTTGATTACATCTTCAAGTATCTTTGGCTTGATATTTATCTTTGCTAGCACTTTTGCTTTAAGGTCTAGTCATTTCTCACTAAACCATGAATGCATACCACCTGAAAATTCTGAAGTGAGGTCAACGATTAAGAAAAGTTCAAGCCTATATAACAAGTATTGATTGTGAAACAAGCAGTAACAATCAAATGAAATTAGACCTGATACGCATTTGCCTTTCTCAATCCTGTCCATTACAGCACAAGCCTCTTTAATAAGTAAATGTTGAATTAGAAAGGGAAATTTGTGGATTTCTTCGATAATATTGTCATCTACGTCATAAGTAAAGATTTTTTTAATATAAAAATCAAAGACGACTCTTTTAGAATCAGATTGTTTTTTACAATCCAAAGTAACGATATTATAGACGGTACCTAAGATAATATAGAAAAAAGAAAATAAATAAAAAATATAATAATTTGTAAAATAAATAAATAAAATTTAACCTTTTTTTATTAAATTATTATATACAAGTATAAATATTTGTAAATATTTAAAAGTTTTTTAAGATTATAACTAACCACCATTACGCTTAGAAAATTTTTGAACTTTCGGTTTATTTATATCTAATGCTAAATTTTCTGAAAGTTTTTTTGCTTTATCTCGCACTAACTTGAAGATATTGGAATCCTGTAATGTTACATCTAATTATTGTTGTAATATCTGAGAAATTTCTTTGATATTATCATTCGTATATTTAATATTAAGACAAATATTGTAAAATACTTAGAACACTCCAACTTTGATATTTATTTGTTCTAAGATAATCAATTATATGTTTTTTCATAATAAACGATAAATAATCATCTAAGCAAGTATGATAAAAATTCAGACAAATATAATGCTTTACAAAGATTAGCACTCGTAATGAGTACTGCTTATGTAAGAAAACTTGAAATACATATGCTTAAAAACTCGTAATAATAAGAACTCATGTATAAAAGAACTTGTAATAGATATAGTAGTAAGAATCAATGCACAAGAAAAGTATATTATAATAAGAAATTATGCATAAATACTATAGTAACAAGAATTCATACATAAGAGTACTTATAATAAACACTTATCCCATAGATATTATATTCATATTGCTATAAAGAAAAAAGATAATCTCAAAGTAAAGAGAAATTATGAGAAAGAGTTAGTCTATATATATTAAATTATAATTACTACATGAGTACACATCATAACTACTATCACTACTATAAACTTACGTAATTTTTTTAATACATGTGATTCATGTGATATAATCCCTTATGAATAATTATGATCTACATAAATATTACCAAATTTGGATCGTCTAAAGCAAAGTAGTCACGTGATATTATCACGTGATTATAAGGATGATTGTGATTGGTCTGTTGGATATTAATAATGATTTGTCAGAATAATAGTTAATTTGTCATAAAAAACTAGCAAAATTAACCATTTAAAAAAAATTGGACGATCAATCACTAAATGCAATCAAAAAAAAGTAAAAAAATTTTTTTTTATTATTTTGATTTATTGAATTGCAAAATAATTGAATTTACGGATGTATCTAATATAGAAATAAAAATTTCTGTCTTCTCAGCATTACCCATTTCTTCAACACTCTAATATCTATTACGAATCCTTTTAGTTAATTCAGTTATGATAAATTTCTGATTTTTAATTTCTTTTTGTTGCTCTGTTTGTACAAATTCTATTATTAACTCATAACCTTCATATACTTCATAACTAAAGATAGCGTTACAATATTGTGACGCTTATTTGTCACCTGTTACAACTTAAATTTTAATAATGATGCAATTCGTTGTAATATTGTGATGCTTATTTGTCACCTGTTGCAACTAATTGAGATGCTATCTTTATTCATAACCATTTTCTTCAAATATTTTTTGAAACATTTTCCAAATATTTGTAATCAGTAATTTCACATTGCCATACATATGCTCATGAAAAAAATGCTTGCATAGCAAAGTGATTACTAAAGATTAGCATTACACAAATAAAGTATATGCAAGAAATTATATACTGAATGATGCTTAAAATAGATGTATCTAATTTATTCTATTTTAATTATAGTTCCTTTGCCTATTTGATAGCTTTTGACGTTATACAAATAAGAATATCTCTAATCCTTTCACCATTCTTTAACCGCTATCTTTCTTTATCTTTATTTGGTTCTGTAAATTTATTTAATGAAATTATACTAAAATCAATAAAATCTTCATCATCTAAGATCTCCTCTTCTTTATCATTTTTATCATTCTTAAGCTTACTTTTAAACTGATGATATCTGAAAAGAAAATTCTATAAAAATGCAAGTTAAAATTATTAAGCTCTAATCGGAACTTGTTAATCTATTCAAGAAAAATCTAATAACTCATTATTTTCTGATTTGAATGAATCTTATTTTTTATATACACTATCAGATAATTCGTTAGCAATACTTAGTCCCTTTTTACATGGAGAATAATATCAGTTAGAATGTTTACAATCAATAAACCAAAAGCATTGATTGAGCTTTACTAACATTTTGTTTGATAAACTGAAGATGTGTTTGGTTTAAAGCCAATTTTTCAATGCAAGTGGCCTTTAATTGAACTGTAAAGTGAGACTCAAGATGAACTTTTTGTTTGTGTTTTTGACGCTTCAACTTTTCTTTCAAAGATCTTGAGATAGCTTTCGTTTTGCGCTTTCATTAAGATTCTTTACTAATCTAATGTGAAAATCAATGATATTCAATATACCTTCAGTTAAAATATGTACAGGTTCTTCAAAACTACGTCAAAAAATTCGCACATTTTCTAGCTTATTCTGTACAATGTTAATAATCAAAGGATCTTTGCACTTTTTCATGATGTGTTTTAGAGAGCTGGCAAATTGGAAACAAGAATTCTGGCTATTGGAGAAGTACCAAAATTGCCACAA